TTGAAAAGATATTTGGCTCTAATAAAAAATGAAAAAAAATGCATTGTTGGACTCATATTTAGAAGTAAATCTGTGACAATAACAGCATAGAGGAAGGGGAATGGAAATAAACTGTGGGAAGGTTTTTACATTATATGTGAAATATTTTGTATTATTTGAAAGTGGACAGTGAGAAGTTAATAGCAAATACTATAAACCCTAGGGCACAGCTAAATAAATAAACAAACAGGTAGTGTTAATAAGCCAATCGTGAAGATGAAATGGAATACCAAAAAATACTCAATCTGAAAGAAGTCAGGGCCAGACATGGGGGCTCACACCTGTAATCTCAACACTTTGGGAAGCCAAGGCAGGAGAATTGCTTGAGCCCAGGAGTTTGAGATCAGCCTGGACAATATAGGGGGAGACCCCATCTCTACGAAAAAATTAAAAATTAGCTGGGCATGGTGGCATGCAGCTGTAGTCTCAGCTACTTGGGAGGCTGAAGTGGGATGATCACTTAAGCCTGGGAGATCAAGGCTACAGTGAGTCATGATCATGCCACTGTACTCCATCCTGGGCAACAGAGTGAGATTCTATCTCAAAAAAAAATTTTTGTTTTAAAAATTAAAAAAAAAGGAAGGCCAGGTGTGGTGGCTCACGCCTGTAATCCCAGCACTTTGGGAGGCCGAGGTGGGTGGATCACGAGGTCAAGAGATCGAGACCATCCTGGCCACCATTAGTGAGATTAACCAAGAAAAAAAAGGAGAAGATCCAAATAAGCTCAATTAGAAACGAAACAAGAGATATTACAGCTAATGACATAGAAATACAAAAGATCATTCAAGGCTACTATGAATACCTTTACAAGCATAAACTAGAAAACCTAGAGAAGACAGATAAATTCCTGGAAACATACAAACTTACAAACATACAAACTAGATTAAACCAAAAAGAAATAGAAACCCTGAACAGACTAATAACAAGCAGTGAGATTGAAACTGTAATTTAAAAATTGCCAACAAAAGAAAGTCCAGGACCAGGTGGATTCACAACTGAATTCTACCAGACATTCAAAGAAGAATTCTCACCAATTCTACTGAAACTATTCCAAAAGATAGAGAATGAGGAAATCCTCCTTAAATCATTCCATGAAGCCAGTATCACCTTAATACCCAAACCAGGAAAGGACTTAACAAAAAAAGAAAACTACAGACCAATGTCCCTGATGAACATAGATACAAAAATCCTCAACAAAATACTAGCTAACCAAATCCAACAGCATATCAAAAAGATAATCCACCATGATCAAGTGAGTTTCATACCAGGGATAGAGGGATGGTTTAACATCCATAAGTCAATAAATGACACCACATAAACAGAATTAAAAACAAAAATCACATGATCATCTCAATAGAGTCAGAAAAACTGTTTGACAAAATCCAGCATCCCTTTATGGTTAAAGCCCTCAGCAAAATCGACATAGAAAAAGCATGCCTTAAGATAATAAAAGCTATCCATAGACAAACCCACAACCAACATTATACTGAAGGGGGAAAACTGAAAGCATTCCCCCTGAGAAATGGAACAACATAAGTGCCCACTTTCACCACTTCTATTCAACATAGTGCTGGAAGTCCCGGCCAGAGCAAACAGACAAGAGAAAGAAATAAAGGGCATCTAACTTGGTAATGGGGAAGTCAAACTGTTGCTGTTTGCAGATGATATGATTGTATACCTAGAACACCCTAAGCACTAATCCAAAAAGCTCCTAGATCTGATAAATGAATTCAGTAGTTTCAGGATACAAAATCAATGTACACAAATCAGTAGCACTGATATACACCAATAGCAACCAAGCTGAGAATCAAAACAATAACTCAACCCCTTTTACAATAAGTGCAAAAAATAAAATAAAATACTTAGGAATATACCTAACCAAGGAGGTGAAAATATCTACAAGGAAAACTACAAAACGCTGCTGAAAGAAATCATAGATGACACAAACAAATGAAAACACACTCCATGCTCATGGATGGATAGAATCAATATTATGAAAATGACCATACTGCCAAAAGCAATCTACAAATTCAATGCAATTCCCATCAAAATACCGTTATCAGTCTTCATAAAACTCTAAAAAAAAATCCCTTAAATTCATACGGAACCAAAGAGCCCACATAACCAAACCAAGACTAAGCAAAAAGAACAAATCTGGAGGAATCATATTACCTGATTTCAAACTATACTGCCAAGCTATAGTCACAAAAACAGCATGGTACTGGTATAAAAATAGGCACATGGACCAATGGAACAGAATAGAGAACCCAGAAATAAAGCCAAATACTTACACCCAACTGATCTTTGACAAAGCAAACAAAAATATAAAGTGGGGAAAGGACACTCTGCTCAACAAATGGTGCTGGGATAATTGGCTAGCCACATGTAGAAGAATGAATCTGCATCCTCGTCTCTCACCTTATACAAAAATCAATTCAAGATGAGTCAAATACTTAAATCTAAGTTCTGAAATCATAAAAATTCCAACAGATAACATCGGAAAAACTCTTCTCTAGACATTAGGCAAAGAGTTTATGACTAAGAATCTAAAAGCAAATGCAACAAAGATAAACACGTGGACTTAATTAAACTAAAAAGCTTGTGCACGGTAAAAGAAATAATCAGCAGAGAAAGTTTGCTATGAAGATAAATGGAAGAAAAGCAAAATAAAAACACATCACAAATGCAGATAAACCAATATATTTGCAGAGCACAGGTTCCTTCTCATAAGATCATTCAAGTCTGGCACCACTTGGTGAGGGGTGGCCCAGCTCACTGGGCTCATGGTACCCATAAATATGCCTACCCTGGGAGAATGGAAGGTTGACAGAGTGCCTGATGGACATGTGTGTGAAGAGCAGAACAGCACAACAACAAACATGCAAAGAGCACCCATAACCCTGCCTCCTTCTCATCACATTCCAATAAAAGAGGAAAGAACAATTCATTTTCATTTCCTTTGCCAGGTATGGTGGTATGCATCTGTAATCTCACCTACTCAAGAAGCTGAGACTAGAGGATTGCTTAATCCCAGGAGGTCAAGGATGCAGCAAGCCATGATCCTGCCACTGAACCCCAGCCTGGACGACAGAGTAAGACCCTGTCTCAAAAAAAAAAAAAAA